TATATATATATATATATATATATATATATATATATATAAATTTTTTATACCGCTTAATTTATACATAACTATATTTTATACTATATGCAGTTGTATGCTTCAAATAACGTTTTTTATATCTCTACTAAATATATAATAAATTATAGTAATACACATATTTCATTCCATTGCACATGTTAAAGGATTAAATTATTTATACACACATTCGAGCGCACGTGTTATTAACGATCTAGTTAAAAAAATTTTTTAGTTTGATTAGAAAATAAATAATTTTTATAAAATATTCGAGTTTGTGTGTAACTCGAAATATGCCGTATGGTCGTTATATATTCTAGCTTCGCACATATATACACACAGCATTAATTACCTATATCGGAGACCACCATATCCTCGGCGGCATCCAGCTCGTTAAGTATTTCTCCCCAAGGATTGGTTAACTGAGTATGCCCCCAAGCGACGTATCCAGGCGGTGAGCCACGTGCCGGCGATACGCAGGCTACATATAATTGATTGTCGTTTGCTCTGGCACGCTGCAGCAGCGACCATTGTAGCGGGCCAGTGGTCATGTTGAATGCCGCCGGGTATATCAACATCTGACAACCTGACATCATCATAGGATGAAAGATGAACGTGAGAGACACGGTTTATAGGGCTTGTTAAGGGGGTAACGAGACTATCTCGATCACAATCTCGACTAACGATTCTTCTACAGATCTGTATAATTACATATATATAATACGTATCGTGTATCTATTCACCTTTGTTTCTGTATAATCGCGCCATTTCTTCAAATCTGATATCGTAGCAAATGCCAATGCCGATTTTGCAACCTTTCGCTTCAAACATGGTAAGGGACGTGCCGGCGGATAAGGCGTCACTCTCGCGAAAAGTGAATTTCCCTTTAATGTCGATGTCGAACAAATGCATCTGTAAAGAAGATAATGCTTAAAGTGCACTCTGTTTCATGTACCGTAACATTTGTTCATGTAGAAAAACGAAAGAAACCTTAATTTTCTCTCTCTCTCTCTCTC